GAATGATCTGCTGTATGATATGCTGCATTCAGCGGTGGTGGGCATCGCCCAGTGCCGCTGTCTGCAATGGCGTTATTATTAATTTATTGCAGTTAGGATCTCTTGAAAATCTGTAAATATTGTGAACGATTTTTTTTTTTTTTGAGTGGCATTCGAAATTACAGAACTGTCGGGGCAAAACAATTTTGTTTCGGGCTTGTCTGAATAGTTTATTCGCCTAATATGCATCTTTTTGTTGAATCATCGTTATCTTTTCGGTTGTTTTTTACTTTTTCAAATTAGGAATAAATCTGTGATACCTGTTAACTCAGCAAGCATGTCTTAAACATTTCTTTAGAAGCAAACAAGACCATAAAATTGGAAAAGCAGAACTCAGCCAGACACAAAAGTTCCATCCTTATTCGCTCTCAGTGAGAAACGGAGACCTCGGGAAGTAACCCAAATGATACATATTATTCCTGCTGTCCGCCGGCGAATCTATCCATGGTTCTATCTTTCGGGAGTAGCTTGGAGCAGCCTGATGGTGGGTTCGACCTCCTGGCATATGCCAGTACCAGTTTTTCATCGAAATGAATGAGCGAATCGTAGAAGTTTGGTTGTCCCTGTGGCGGAGGAGAACTCAGTACGGATGGTGCACTAGTATGGCAGGTCTCCACTACAGCGTGATGAATTAAGTAAGCAGGTTTTGATTGCACTGTCTGGAGAAGGTAGCAGTCAGTTCAATCAAAGGAAGTGAGTTTGGGTCTCCAAACAGCGGGATGCACAGGCTGGCACGTTTGCGGGAAAGTCGAAAGGCAAAAGCAGGTGTTTGAGGTTGTGGCTTTAACCAAATTCATTATAGGGCTGTTTAAGGGGACGTAAATCCATTTTAGTAGTTTATTGATGGATTTGATAACTGGGCATGGTGAAGCTAGAGGCACGGATGAGTTTGTTTACTTTTGGCGAGTCGGCCGTACTAATTAACTTATGAGGTGTTAAACACTGTTGCTGTATTCATGAGTGCTGAGGACGAAGGTATGGATTAGTTAGCCGGAGGAAGTTGCTTCAATTTATTTTTTGATGTGTGGTATCCGGTCTAATTTATGATAGTTTATGGTCATCTTCCACATGATTCCTGTAAGCAGCCATCCATTCTCTCAGTCTTCGTTTTACTCCGAACAGTAACTGCAGTCGCCACATATCAGGGATAGTAGCAGAACCTGAAATAATTGGACAACGCACCCGCCGCCGGTGCGAAGATGCGTTTTTTGCACAGTTCCCCGCAGTTTTTGTCACTACCGGCACCGGTTTTTCCGGCAAATGGTTTTAGCTAAACAAATTAAGACTGGCCATCAAGACTGTCAGGAAACACTCCCTAAAAATTTCAGCTTCCTAGTTTTCCTGGCACTCGAGTTAGCAACTTACTCGAAAAAAACTTCCACGGGCCCGCACGTGGGTACCGCGCGGGTGAGAGCGCCCATTTTGGGGACTGGAGTCCGTACGTGCATATAGATTAAGTTCCCAAAGTTTCAGTCCAGTAGCTTTTGCAGGTCTTAAGATGAAAAATCGGTACAGACGCACATACACATAAACACAGAGACAACCCCTCGTCAATATGCGTTTTCTGCATTGCATAACTGCAAAAAACGCATAAAAAGGGTCAGAACTTGACATTTTTCATCCCCAAATTAGCCCAATCAAATCCCATCCTTTATTTGGGCGTCATCTCATATGCTCATTAGGGACGTCAGGATTGCGCATCAGATATGGGATCGTTTTTCAGTGTGTAGCAAGAAGTATCCGGGAATCCTATATAGTCTGCCTATTCGAAAACTATAAAGTTAGCGTGACTTCGTCTTAAAATCAACGGATCAGGAAATTGCAGTTCCTACCGCTAACTGTGGAGTTGGAATTACGAATTTTCAGCTTGTTCCATTCTGAAGTTGTAGAATTACACTAAATATGGTGCATCTGGTAACGTAAGATAGGAAGTAGTGCAAATCGAAAGCTGATTTTACAATGTCTCATCTTCAGTGCATGGTAAATTGAGCTTTCAGACTCTTCGGCAGCTTTATCTATATTCAAGTTAGAAGGTTAATATGACTTGTGATTCGATATTTTAACCTGTGACACGAATTAAAAGCAACATGCTTTTACGTTTAATGGAACCGCAAAAAGTCGAATACTACGTTCCTGAAATAACGGGAATAAGAGACAAGGGGTCAAACTCTGCCTGGGATTCGTAGTCCTCGAGTCGATTTATGTAATTAGACAGGCGGATGCGCCCATGCATGCGTACACAGGCATGCACATGCAGAAAGGGACGAAAATGGCCTCGTCCTAGTGCTTCTTGTTCTGTATGTCCGATGCAAAAACACCCAAACCACTTATATATCGGGCAACTCTCAATTCACTGCCGCTCGGTATACTTCGAAATAGCCGGAACACCTGTAATGTGCATTTACATCTGCGCAACCAGTAATTTTTATACGTTTTTTGCATCTATGCAATGCAAAAACGCATACTGCCGAGAGGTTGTCTGTGTGTGTTCGTCTGTACCAATTTTCTTCTTCGAGACTTACAAAAGTTACAAGGCCGGAACTTTGGGAACTTAATCTACATGCATGTATGGACACATGTACAGGCCTCCATCCCCAAAATGAGCGCTCCCGCCCACGTGTCTCCCACGTACGACTCGTCAATGTTCCTGGCGAGTAAGCTGTCAATATGGAAATCAGAAAAGCTAAAAAACTGAAATTTTAAAGGCATGTCCCTCGCCTATGTAAGAATTGATGGGTTCAAACCCAATTCATATAACAGACTAAAAAGAAGAATCTAAAAATGGTTCCCGCGTACCGGCCCATGAACGTTTTTTACAGGTATGTTGCTAACTCGGAAAGCTGGAAAGTTAGAAAGTTGTAATTTTAGGGTACCCTCTGCCACGTACAGTCAAGTGACTTCAAAACTAGCCCCCAGATGCGCGTGGCTTTCATGCACGGGCCGTGAAAATTTTTGACGACTTAGCTGCTGACTCGAAAACCAAAAAAGCTGGAATTTTAAGGGAATGTTTTCTCATAGTCGTGATGATCAGTCCCAATTCTTTTGACTAGAAGCATATGCCAAAAAAACAATGCCGTCAACGATAAAAAGCTGTGAAGGACTGGGATGGGCGTGAGGGGGTGGTGTGGGCGGATCTCGCGCGCGGGAATCCGAGGCAAGGGGAGACGGAGGGTGGACTGAGGGGATACGCGGCACAGATCTCTTAGCAGTTGCCTAGGCCATGTAAAGAAGGAGGGAGGGATGATAGTTGGAAAGGAGAAAGTAAAAGCAAGAAATGCAAACGAAAAATCGCCATTGGTAGACTTCCCCCTCTGCAAAACTAATGCTTAGGTAAAGCTGAGAACCAATGAAGTGAAGCTGCGAAGGTAAACCTGAGACTCTCAGGTTTAACTGCGCATCAGCGCCCTCACTAGCGTCCTTGTTCCCCCTCTACCGTGCCCCTACCGCTGTATGTGGGCACCTACCCACTGCCATTCCCCAACTACGCGTTTCATCCGTTAAGCGCTGGGAAGCACTACCCAGCGCTCCTGACAAAGTGCTAAGTGGCACCTGCGGCGTTGCCAAATAGCATTAGCAGAGAAGCTAGGAAAAAGGCAGAGCCGAGCCGAGTTTTTAGTAGTTGCCAGTTCTAGTAATTGCCGCATCCCATTGCTAACCAATACTTCGAACTGAACGGTAAGTAATCCGATGTGGGCGAGGGGGGGAGCACTGTGGTGGACGAAGGGGCTGGCAGATAGATGGGATTGTGTTTGCAGTTTCTGGAGTGGATTTTTCGCTAAACACATCCACATATGAAGCACGACTTATGTAAGAGCGCTTATGCTCATACTACCAGTCACCGTGTGGATTGCCAGTGAAAAAGAGGCACTTAGCTTTTTCGAGATGTGAGAAAATATCAAATTATTTAATTCATCAGTATGAAAAAATAGTGCAGATGGTGCTGGTGGTGGAGATCTTCGCGGGACACAGTGTGTTAGTATCATACGGTGTAGCACCACCAAGAAAAACATCGAAGTATGCCATAAGAAAAAACACAAAAGATCGTCAAAAGAGAAAGTACAATCACTGGCCAGGATTCGTTGCTCGCCTTTTTGACAATCGATGGACACCGTCTATTAATACGTGCTGCCATAAACCACAAGTCATCGTCAATATCACATATGTTTCCATTCGAAGATTTGAAGACACAAGACTTAATATCACCGAATAATTTAAGGACGGAATGGATAAGAAAAAAATCTCAACACCTCCTGCTAATGCCTACTGCTTGTTCAATACGTGTGCACTATCCACCTCGAAGGCCGTTCGAGTTGCCGAATTTCGTAATGTATCATCGGAAAATTACGTTCACGAAATTTTTTAACAGTGGCACTGTACGGTAAATAGTAACAAGACCTTATGGACCACACAACTTAAAGTGTTTCTGGATGCACAAGCCAGTCAGTGATCGGAAGCATAGGAGGGAGACAAGGTCACCCGGATAGAACACAAAATTTTTGCAATTGCCGCCTATCTGTCCCTCTACTTTATGACGATCGATTATCCCAATTTCCGCCCGGGGATCAAACTGCGAAACTTTGGTTTTACAGTATATTCAATTCGACAGATGCAGCAAACTAAACTGGTAAATTGGTGGAGTAAAATCGTACTTGAGAGCGTCGAGAAGTAGACGGCTAAGTTTCGCTTCATAACCACAAAATCAGGAATTTGAACAGGAAAATTCCATCCATGATGCTCTACGATTCAATCATGCAGACTGGGAAGCATACAAATTAACAC